ATTTGCTCACTCATACAGAACTAACAAGACTGTTCGCTCGCACAACTATTAAATATTGTTTTGTACGCACAACTCTTAGCGCACAACTCTTTACTCTTAACTCTTCTTGTTGGCGACGATCATCAAACTGAAAACTGAGCTCGTGGTATCCCGAATTTATAGGGATACACCGACGACACTAAACTACATACACTACGCTACTTGTTTTTATAAACAACCAAAGTTACTTAGATCAATGTGTTCATCAAAAAGTGCCGCTTTCAAAAGACGCCGAATAATCTAAAAGCAAGCCGCTATCTCTATTGCGCGACACCGCTGCGTCTTCCGCACGATGCCGCTACCTTTTTGTTATGCCGCCGATTTTCTCTGTCGGACGCTATTTCTCTCTTTTCTTAATTTCTCTCTCGCTCTTACATCATACTTATAAACATACATTGCGGTTTATTTTCTTATCCTACATATATACACGTACAAGACCTTAAGCGTGAAGAGGTAAGAAAACTCACTTTTAATCAAGCATTCCAAAAAGAATCTGGATCATTGATCTAAAGACGCATAAAATTAAAAGTTAAATATTTAATTTAAAGTAATGTAAAGTAAAATATCTTGGAAACTATACGTTTTTTAAAACAAAAAAAGAAAAAATGTCATAAATATTTATATTCAAGAATGTCTTTTATATATTTCTAGTGTCGTTAATGCGACGTTATCAGTAAAAAAAAAAACTATCTCCAAGAGTAAAGTGCTCCTTATACGTTTGTTCTGACAAAACAGAGTTGTTCCGGATTGTTCTGTGTCTATTTCTCATTGTTCTAGGTTTTAGTGTCGCTGGTGTAACATTTATCGGTCGAAAAGACAAATATCTCTACCTTCAAGAGTAAAGTGCTCTTTAAACGTTTGTTCTGACAAAACTGAGAGTTGTTCCGGATTGTTCTGTGTCTATTTCTCATTGTTCTAGGTTTTAGTGTCGCTGGTGTAACATTATCGGTCGAAAAAGACAAAATAATTCTCTACCTTCAAGAGTAAAGTGCTCTTTAAACGTTTGTTCTGACAAAACTGAGAGTTGTTCCGGATTGTTCTGTGTCTATTTCTCATTGTTCTAGGTTTTAGTGTCGCTGATGTAACATTATCGGTCGAAAAAGACAAAATAATTCTCTACCTTCAAGAGTAAAGTGCTCTTTAAACGTTTGTTCTGACAAAACTGAGAGTTGTTCCGGATTGTTCTGTGTCTATTTCTCATTGTTCTAGGTTTTAGTGTCGCTGATGTAACATTATCGGTCGAAAAAGACAAAATAATTCTCTACCTTCAAGAGTAAAGTGCCTTTTATATGTTTGTTCTGGTGAAACTGAGAGTTGTTCTGGCTTGTTCTATTCGTTTTTAGCTTAAATATGTAATTTGGTGTCAAAACATAATATAATAATAGCGATAAATGTAAAAATACTATTTGGACGCTTAATGCTATTTTTTGCTATATCTTTTTATTAAATTCTTTTTTAGGGGGATTAATATTTTAGAACAATGTTTAGAACAATTAGAACAATCCAGAACAGTAAAAAAATTTGAATTTAAAAAAAAATGGGTGGCCACAAAAATAAATCGTTTTTTTGCTTTTCCCGTCATGTTTTTCGATTTTTTTGTTCATAACTTTGGAACAATATAGAACAAACGTAGAACAACCTGAAACAACTAAAAAAATATTCAAAATCGAAAAATGGGGGGCTAACTTCATATAGGCTCCTTATGGTCAAGTTGAATCGCGATCGCTCCGCATTCGCGTGTCTTTACCCATTCCGAACAAATTCCGCGTGCGAATAAGTGTCGCGAGTGCCGAATTTGGCGATGGGCGATTGTTTCAAGGCATCAAATATGTCCATGCGATGGCGTTTCTCGGCGTCCGAAATTGATTTGACGCCTTGCGTTTTGCCGCGAAACATCGTTTCCCGGTACGCGTCTTTCGTGTTATTCGCTTTTCCAACAAGCGACGCGTATGCCATTTTCTATCTACATTGGAAAGCATAAAGGGCATCAACAAAAGCATCAACGAATCGCGATGAACTCGCTGATGCGCGATGAACTCGCTGAGTGAGGCAAGTAAAGTTGCCTACAATATCGCAGTGTTCGTGTCCGCCATAACACTTTCGCATTCTTGGCGTAGGTCAGTTCGTGCGCCGAAAGATCTCCAATGTCGTAGGTAAAACGCGATCGCGTTGTTTTTATTCGTTTCGAGTACGAATTCCGCGTGCGAACGAGTATTCGGGAGTGTCGAAATTCGGGAGTGTTAAGATATGAACGACGGGCGATCATCTCAGTGTATTTATCAATCTGTACGATCGTGATTAACGTTTTTTTAAGTGTAGAGAATATCTATAGATAACCTATTTGTGCCGAGGACATTGTATGTTGTGTGGATTTCGAAACTGTCAGTTTCGCGAAATATAAGTGATTTAATAAAGTGCTGAAACTTCAATATGTATCGTGAAATGCGAGTGATTTAGTAAAAATGATGATATACCGCAGTGGATTTTTCGTAGCGTTCTGGCTTTCCTGGAAGCTCGCTCGTGTTTACAAGGGGAACGTTCCCCTTCCCCACTCACTTGCTCTCCCGTGTCTCTCGCGGTTTTTTACCCTTCAAAACTACATTTCACATATAAACAAGTATCACGAATGCGAGTCGTGTGTTTATTAGTCCGTATGATTGCGATCAATTTTTGATATTCATAATAACGCGTTGAAATAATCTATTTGCCATCTATAATAAAAAATTTGATTTATCAAAGCACGAGTGAATTAGTGATTAATAAAGTGCGCGAGTGCATAGCAATCAAGAATGCCACAGGATGAGGATTTACAAAGATGAAAAGGATGGATTGAAAGAAGTAACATGAAAAAGGACCAAAGCGGTAATCAGAAACAGAAAGGAATAACATATGCAGCGGCGGTGCACCGACTGGTGAGTAAATTTGTTTGTTATATTTGCGTATTGATTTATTCATTGATTTATTATGCAATTGTAACAATATCTATTTATTTCCTGATTAATGATTTGTAATTTAATCATATTCGACGATTATTTTTACCCTGAATATTTTTCTATTATTTAATGGTCAAATTACTGATTATTCCGTAATCGTACTCAATAATACTTAATTATATTTGGCTCAATTATGATGCAATAATAACGCGGCAGGGAATATTTTTAACGCATCGTTTTTACAGACGATGTGTATCATTTTTTGTAAAAATGTAAAAAAGACATTTTAATATATAAATAACAATTGCGTATAGAGTCCAATTTCAATTTGTCATCTTTTGAAATATGTACACTTAGATGTATGAATAAAACGATTCACAAAGACGCAGAAAGGTAGGACTGTGAATCGAGGCGAGGTTTTGAGCAAACGCAAGCTCGGGATGAGCGAACGGAGTCAACGAACTTCTCTTCGCATTTACGTAACCCCGGTCGTGTAAACATATCGATCTCGGCGGGGGCATGTGTGTGCATTGGTAGCTTTATTTCGCCCCCCGGTTTATACTAGCGATGAGACTACCAGAGTGAGTCAAGTTGATACTCGTTCTCGCGGTCCTTTGTCGGATCGGTCGCGCGCAACGTCGCAAACGATCGCATTCCGACTTGCACGTTCCACGTTCCGCATTCGGATCGGACGACGCATCACGTAAAAGAGAGGGACGTCACACTCGACGTAATATTTTCAAGCAATCGCATCCGATACGCGGAAATTGCTTTTTCTCATGCGAGGAATTCTCTTCTGCAATTATACATGAATCGTGCTGCGAAAAACACCGCGACAGATAATACAGATACTTTTTAGGACGTTTGTGTTTCTTGCTTTGTTGCGATTTTTATGCACTTTCATTCTACGTAATCGATATTCGCGCTTAACATTTTCCAAGTCGAAAGATGTTTGAACAATAATTGTAAAGGCAAAACAACAAATTTTTGAAAGTAAGATAAAATAAACTATCAAATCGGATTTAATTATAATTTATATATAATTACAACTAAAAATAATAAATATAAAGAATCAAAATCAAGTTTTTTAAAAATTATTATTTTGTTTTTTCTTCAATCTATCTTCTTTCGATAGAATATACCACATATAAATATCGTAATTAAAAAAAATATGTATGTCCGATTGAGGTATGTGCTTGACGAACATTTTCAATTTATATTCTTGAGTATTAAAAAACTTTTTTTTACTTCGCTGTTTTTATTTTGAAATTACTTCTGAAATCTATATTTAAAAAAATATAAACTTACGTACTGCAAAGCCTTTTGCAAACAAGCAACATTGAATTGCTCCAAAAAAGTTAAAAAACGCGCTACGGGAAAGTTACTTACCGGGTTTGAAATGTACACAGCGTCGATGGCACGTGCTGCGATGCATTGGCCGCCTAACGGTACAGTTCCGTTTTCTACAGCTGACTCTCGTTCCGTCGCTGTTGACACCACTTCACGAAATAAGCGAATTCTTTTTAGGATCTTCGCAACAGTCCGTTCTTTAAACATTGTTCACTAACGCACACTCGTAATTTATACGCGTTGTTATTGTCAGTCGTACGATGGACTATACGAGTATCAATTCGTAACAACTCTTCGTTTCCAATATCCCAATTTTTAAACGACGCGCGCGCGTGTGTGTGTCTGTGTGTATAAAGTTATTTTTGTAACGAGATAGATGTATCCTCTCATTGTTTGATTTTGATAAGTTTCGATGTACGTCATCCGTGATATTTGTCGTCAATTGTTAATGAACGAATCGCGATTATCACTAATGAAGAGAATAATGAAAATATTTATATTGTGAAACGTGCAAGTTTTGTTCGTTAAATGCACGCTGCATGGCACAGAATGAGAGATTACGGAGAGAAGGGCTAATTATTAACTTTGTTAAGTATTAATCTGCCATATTTCGCAATTCGTAGTGATTAACAGGAGTTAATTAGTCAATCGTTAGTCGTCAACAAGATAGCAGATATAGCGATATTAAGAGGGGAATGCGCGATGCGGAATTCGACCCCATGAATCATAGTCGTTTATTACTTGCACAATGTCGTCGCATCAGTGCGACTCGACGAGACGAAATCTCGTTAAATAGCCGTTGATTCCGCAATTAAAGTTAACTCGGTTACGCGACAATCGCTTGTAATTTAATCAGCGCGCGTAGTTACTCATTTCCATTATTTTACATAATATCAAGTGGCGATACTGGAACGCTAATTAACGGTAGTCATGTAATAGCACAATGCGGTCCTCTACCGCAGTCTATGTAATTATAGCGGTTGGAAAAAAAATTGCATCATGTGCGTGGGGGAGTTCGCGATACATTGTCGCGAAAACGGCTATAAATTCGCGAGATTCGTTGAGGTGAAAATTTATACCAAACGTTCGCGTAGCGTGATACATCTCTATGCATATAGGGTGTGTTGCAATTCGCGATTTCAAATTTTGTGACAAATTTGTTTCTATTTTTGGCGCAAATTTTTCGTAGAGAAAATTTTGGCTCCATTATTTGTTGGAACATTTTAATGTACATATGATAAGTTAATATTAAACCTTGAATTAGAATTTTTACGCGAGTAATTAGGTTTTATTAATTGAATATATTCTAAAAATTTAATTTATAAAAAAATTTCTCATTTTCTATTATTTATGATTCTAATAATGACTTTGTTTTGCACTTAGAGAAAGATTCATTATGTATTCTGTAAATACCTGTGATTAGAATTGAGGTCAAAGGTTTCTTGTCACCTTAATTGCGTTTTACAGTGATATTTTTCTAGCCACGCATACGACGTGTTTTTCTTTTATCGAACCCGCATATCTGATATTCTTTAATCGATTTTGAATTGTCCAGAGAATTAGTTTTGTTAAGAATGCAAATTAAGGTCGCTGATTCTGGGACACACTATATATGCGCGTGGTACGCAGTGACTACTGATATACGGCGGCTCGCGGAGTTCGAGCACGACGCCGAATTTAATAACGCGGAACTGTGGCGCGACGAGGTGCAACGCGGTCCATACACAATCGGGACAATCAACGTCGTCGAGCCGGCCATTAGCCTCCGATTACGGCCGACTTTATTACAGACGACTGCCACTCCTAACGCGAAACGCACAATCGGCGGCATTATTGGTAGACGCAGTCGGTGCTCGTATAGAGAGGGACGAGCCATGAGTGCTCTATCCCGACGATCGGATTTGCTTCGCAGCGGGCACTCGAGTCGAGTCGTTTTCGCTCGAGGCGAACGAACGTTATCGGCGCGCGGAAGGGAGAGGGGGGAACTATTCTTAAAACAGCACGCTTAATCGACGGACGTCACTTAAAGGGGAAATGACAACGGCTAATGAACATGTCTCCTGCGCATCGACCGTGCAACGCGTCACTTTGCTTGCGTTTCTCTCTCTCTTGACCACTTTCTCGATTTGTCCGAGTGTATAACCGGATGTCATATTTTTATCGGCAAAGTGTGTGCGAGTAGAAAAATGATAAAAGATAAATAAGCTTTGCGCGTGGAGGGACGTCGATTAAACTAACGAGAATCGCGATTAATAATCAATCAATAGTCACCGGATAAAATAAATTCAACTAATTTTGCTTTGTTATAAATAGCTTTTAAATATCTCTTATGTGAGTGTGGTATGCTTTGTTGTAAACAGCTTTTAAGCATCGTTCATGCGCAAAGAGAACCGGAGATAAACACTGGCAAAGCACATCTGCGAAGCGTCTAAAGATATGTATATGATGCGATAAGAAGCAAACAGTGCACGAATTCCCCTATTCATCGCGTAAAAACCGAACAAAAGAGCTCATTCGCGATAACCGTAATACATGTAACTACGCAATTATCTACCCGCTTCCCCCCAGAAGGAATTCCGTTCTACCTATCCCACTGTTCACACTGGGAACATACTTCTCACCAGCGGGAAACGCGAATCTGGGATAGAATCCAGGATTGTTGTAGGACGTGGGAAGAGCGCCGTGCGAAGCAATGTCCAACACGAACGATTGCACTCGCTCGTTCCCGAGAGGTTAGGTATATCGGTGGCAGAGCCATGGATGCGTCATCATCGATCCGTGGATCCTCTCGTGATCGACCACGAACGTGAGCGGCTTTGCATCGCGTCGCGACTAAACGACGATACGTGAGGACGACACTCGCGACGAGATTTGCGTGCGATGCGATACGCGGCTACCGCATTGTCCCACTTCACGCATCGTTTTGGTAATTGGCTCGCGGCCCGTCGATTCCCGTGGCTTGACAACAACACGGTCGCCATTTTTGACTGACTATCGAACGTGACAGTACAGCGCGTAGGCGAAAAAGAAGAAACGCGCGAGAAAGAGAAACACCCGCGGCGGCACGGACGCAATAATGATCTTGAACCAATACTTAATCCTTCCATGTCCGATGTAACTTTCACATCACATACCGGTTTTACTACTGTTTCATTTCATTCTCTTATGTTTGCTCCGTTTCAAGGCCATTAACTGCGACTTATAGAAACGCATTTCTGACACAATCTTTCAACACAAGCTTTACAGATGTAGATTATTCGCCGTATATACTTATTTCATTTAACTTGTATTTCTATGTATTAAATACTTTTTTTTAATTTTAGAAAATAATTAGAATAGTGAACAATTAAATTCATCCTGCATATTTTACAATTCAAGGCAAAATTATATTTACAATTTTAAATAATAAATTGTAAATATAGCAATGGATGAGGAAAAAAATTTCACATTTTTTTACCAGTTATAAATACGAGCTATAACTTGAATGTTTTGTGCGCGCATGGTACTGCCTTTAAATATATATTCCTAGAAGCTTAACAATGCTCCGCGCTCGCCTTTAAAATATTGATAACCGATGCTCCCCACATGCGGAGCGAAAACAAACGCGCGTGCCGCGACGACGTGCGCGACCGGCGAGATGCATTCGCGTGCGGTCATCTGTTTTCGCTCGTTCGCGCGAGCTCGCGAATAACGCGCGCACGGAAAATTAGTCGCTCATATCTTTCGCGCGAGCACACAGCAAGCGGAACAAAAAGAGGGATAGAGCGGAAGAGGAAGAGGGGGAGGGGGGAAAACACGCGTGTAATTCCGGTGAATTTTCGTGAAATTGCGCTCACGTCGTTCTCTCGCGGGCACATTGCCATTGCCAACGCCGCCCGTCCGCCCCGGGTCCATTTTATGGCTGACTCAGCAACGAATTTCACCGACGCGGCAACGAATATTGCTATTGGTAACAGTTTCTGAATACCGTGGTGGTGCCGGTGCCGCAATTTTCGCCCGAGACGAATATACCGTGCGCGAACACGGCGGCAGCGAGGGCCCGGGCCGGGTTCACCGCACATGTTTTCGCCTCTCGGGCCGTTCCTCTCGGCAGGGCCATTTTCGCTGCTGCTGGAGGAAACCGTTCCGGTGCGAAACGAGACGGGTTAACCCTCTTGCGGTTCCGCTCTGTTCCGCGACAGTTGCTTGTCAGGTCCCATTTAGCCTCTACACCGCGATGCGTTTAGCTGCCGGCCCCGAACCCGGCTCTTCGGAGAACAATGCTGCTCACCTAACTGAAAGAATTCTATCTGACATATCAAAGTCATTTTTCAGAAAATGACATTTTACGCTTGTGTGCTTCACATTTTACATGTTGTTTAACTGAAGGGTGTCGTTTTTTGACGAAACACGAACCATCTATTTTAGTATAGAAATGCTGATATGCGTTAAAAAAAGTGTATCAAAGATATCTTGAAATCTAATCTTTCTGTTGTCTTTTAGACTTGTAAATGTTTTGAGTTTTTTGGTTATTTTCTGCGAAATTGTTCCGCCTGGTTTAAAATTAAGGGAAAATGCAGACAGGATATTTTAACACGCAAAATTTAGTAATACATGTCTCTTATATTTATTATTTCTACATAAAATAATAATATTGCAAATTGACGATAAAAAGCTTTCGTCGCTTGTCTTCTGTTCGATATATATTGTGGAAGTTTTGCTTTAATTGAGTTAATTGAGTTAACGTCAAGATAACCAAACTTGTAATCCTCCGGATTATGTCCTTCTCAGGCGGGCTACAAAACTTATATATTTTACGAACTTGTTTAATATGTTACGTTGATAATACTCACCTTTTAAGATAATAATACTCATTTAATCTTTGTTGGTAAATACTAACTTTAGGGAAAAAGATCCAGAAGTGGTTTGTAATATTAAAAGCACGATTAAAATTTTGTAGAAAGAAAAACGAGAAATTTCCCCCTTTCATTTGTTCTGCAAGCAGTAAAAAGTTGAAACATATTCATATTAATTATTTAATTAAAATAATTATCTCTGGCTGCGGTTTTCTCCTAGTAAAGTTATTACTACCCGCTGGTCCGGTATTATTGCAAGTCAAACATAAATTTAATATTTAATTAGTAGAATAATATAGACAATAAAATTTTTTTTATTATTAGAGAAGAGGAATTTTTTAAAATAATTTAAATAAATAATTATATAATTTATTACTGTAGACATAGGAATAGATACAAAAATAATTACAGAAATAGGACTAATAGAATTTTAAAAATTATATCAGTAATATTTCTTTTTTTAAATTAAAATATTTTAATTTTGCTAATTAATAATAAGTTTTAATTAAAAACAATTTTTATAATGTGATTTTCATGAAATATTTGTTAACCATAGCTTTTTTGACCAATTTAGAGATGATTTCAGCGAATAAATGTTACAAATGTAATTATAAAATAATCTTTATAATTACTATTTTATTTAATGGATGCGCTGTAGATACGGAAATATAATTAGACGACTTTTGCATGAAAGAAATTTATATCGGGCTCGATTTATATTCGCATTCGCGCGATGTAGTAAAATTATCGCATCCGTCTTATCGTTTCACGAATGCGGTCGCATTTTTAATTCAGACGACGACTCAAGAAATGTATTTCGCTGACGAGATCGGACGAGCGAGATACCGCACGCCGCGGTGCGGGGCGTTGAGTGCGCGCTGTTATTAAATCACAGTGTGTATGTACATCGCGCGGCTGCGTTATAGCAAACACACGTTATACACGCTTCGTGGCGTCCCGACGATTGATAGATACCGTCGTTCGATATTTCAAAAGCGCATTGTTCGATGCGGACTTTGTCTACGCGTGTCGCAATAGGCGGTTTCTCCAGCTATCGTCGCGTCGTCGTCAACGGCATGCGTAATTCCGCGTATTGCACGTAGAATGCCCGAATGAGATTAAACCTTGTGAAATAGGCTATTGTGTATCCGCACGTTGCGCAAGTACTTAAATAGTCATCGCTGTGCTCTGTTGGTGTCTATTCGCGAGTAAATATACGCTCCGTTCTCGTCTTTCGGCGTTTCTCGTATGTAAATCGCCGTGTAGCGCAAGTCATTATCTACCATTACGCGATCCTTGATCGCTTTTAAAGATACGTTCTCTGCCTATTTAGCTGCGTCTTAATTTCTGAACTTTGCATAATAGTCTAGTCTGCTGATCTCACGTTTGGAAATGTATTCCGCACAGCTCAATTTAACTCGCATCCTCCTTCGAGATTTTTATCTCGATTTACGTAAATTTAGCTGAAATTTATATTTAGCTCCGATGTGTGAGGTGAATCACTATTATTGAATCTTACGTTCCGAGATATCGGGCATACCGCACGCGATAATGACGTAACGATCGTCGTGATTTGCCGACCGCCGCCGCCGCCGCCACCGCCGCCGCTGGAAAACTTTGCGTATAATTTCGCGAAAGGGAATTCTGTTATGCGCGCAAACGCTTAAAATATGCGCCAGGCAGTACGAACTCAATTTACTGTCGGTACAGATACCGAATGAACTTCCCTATCAAACCGGAGAGGGAGCTCAGCGGAAATCGTTGCCAAGAAAAATAGTAAGAGCTATTCACTTCGCCGCGTAATGGAGTTAAAGGATTTAGAACTTGGCACACGGGACGGATCGCGGCGGCAGCGGCCTGGTCGAAAAAGGAGCATCTTAACCCTCGGATTACCGAATCTCGTACATACCGCTCGTAGAATGGATCATTGAATGTCGGTCGAACATAAAACACGCCATAAAGGCACAGTCGTTAATTGCCTCGAATGGAGAAAAGCCGAGTATGAAGAAGGAGAAAGATAATAATATTTCCTTAGAAGAAGAAAAGGAAAGGGAGGGAGGATCGCGTTCTCAGAATTCTCGCACACCTGCACCTGTTTTTAATTGGCTTCATGTGGAAGAGAGATCAATCGCTAGTATCTCGATAACGACTTGAGGTGTGAGGACCTATTACGATCGCGTTTCCAATTCGGCCTTGTATTCGTGGCGTACGCATTATTGCACGAAATGCTTCTTACAGTATAATACAAGTACAGTCGATCGCGTGATTGGAGCTCGTTGTGCAATCGGCGCAATGAATCTCGATCCTGATTATCGCGCTGTAATTGTAGCACCGATTGTTGCGACGATAAACATGCATTATTTTTGCCAGGTGTATATATATATATATTCTTGTGCTCTCTCTTTGAGTCGGGAGAGCTTAACTAACTTTGGTTAGCGGTCAGTAATTACTTACAGTAAGAGGGATCCATTTATTTTATTTTTTTCGCAATAAAAAAGATTAAGAGTGGAAAGTATGCGAAAACAAAGTTTTTTAATTAAAATCTCATTTAAGTATTAAGCTAATTATTAAAATGGATTAGTGCAATAACAATAAAGTACAATAAAAACGCGTAAAATAGATAAATACGCCATTGCTTTGTGTTATTTTTTACACTATTTTCTAGCTCTGATTGCATTTTTTCGGTTATCGTTTGATTCGGACAGTACAAATACATACCTTATTTTATTCTCTTTGTGAAGTTTTTTGGCCACGCATATATGATCGTCCTCAAATCCGCAGCAATATTAGTATATGAATTTTCATGAGTTATATTCATGACGCTGTTTATTTTACGGCAGTTCTGTCTTCTATCTATTACTGTACCCCGAGGATAATAAATGTAGCAACAAAAACAGATGTTTTTGCAAACAGAATTAATTTGCAAGGAAGTTATGTACATCTTCAGATATTTGTATATTTTTTTATAATTTAAAGATAATTATTTTAATTTGATTGGCAACCATCCTATTTTTTCATAATTTATAAATTTGCAATGCATAATACATATATATTTTTTGATAAGTAAAGTTTAATGTTTTTATTGAAAAAAGATGGCTAGCAATTGGGCGAAGAATAGTTTTGTT